GACCTAAAATAATCAACTAATCTATACTAAGTTTAATCTAATATAATAAATTAAAATAAAAAACCTGCTTTCCATGAATGCCGTGCTTTACTATACATAATAGGTTTCCAATAGTCGATGAAATTCTTTGAGAGACTCTGCCTGCCTTAAGTTATTTGGCAGACTATTCCATAATAGACCGATCCAAGGTTAATGGACGCCATCTTGCCGGGGGTGCAAAATCATTGGGGCGAGCGCGCGGCCAACGCATGGCGGACACATCGACGCATCATTATGCCAAAACATGCTCGCTGTTGCGTTGGTTATTGTGATAATGACAAGCGGTTTCCCAATCTTTGGACTGTAAGATCGCATGTTAAAGTCCTGAAGTTCCATAAGTGGCCAAGAACACCGCAATTAGCCGCATTGTGGCGAAAAAAAATCGCCAAAGGGGTGATGACTTCGATCCAAAGCCGGGAGCGCAAGGGACATTTGTCTGTTCAAACCATTTTCCCGAGGGCAAGAGAACACCAGATTATCCAACATTATTTATTACCCTCAGTGATTTTTTGAAGGCTCAATYGCCCAAAAAACGCAAAACTAGAGAGCGTTTAGAGAGCAAAAATTCTGAAAAGGAAGTGACAAGTGAGGTGACAACTGACCACGAGTGTGATTCAAGGGACGAAGATGATTTTGATTTTCAAGTTCCAATGCGCTTCGAACAAATAACCAGGGAAGCAGACGTTAAAACATTAAATTTTACTGGTCTACCGTCTACCAAAGCATTCAAATGTATTTTTGAATATTTATTGCCTAGAGCGCAAAATATGCAGTACTGGCGCGGGCCAAAACAAACTGCGAAGGAAGCGCCGAAGAAAGCTCCTGGTCTAGTAACAAAAGGTCGCCCAGGCCCAGGACGCAAGCTAGACTTACAGCAAGAATTTCTGTTAACATTGATGAAACTTAAATTGGGCCTCATTAATGAAGACTTGGCATTTAGATTTATGGTTTCCTCAACTATGGTCAGCAGTGTTTTTATAACTTGGGTCAAACTGATGTCAAAAGAGCTGTCAGTCTTGATTATATGGCCAAGCAAACAATAAGTCAAGAACACACTGCCATCATGCTTCAAGAAACTTTATCCTAAAGTGAGATGCATTATAGATTGTTTCGAGTGTTTTACAGAGACCACTAGTGGTTTAAGCCTCGCTGCTGCACTGTGGAGTGAATACAAGCATCACTACACATGTAAAGTATTGGTAGCCATCACCCCTACAGGTGCTATTTCATACATGTATGTATCCCCAAGCTATGGAGGGAGGGCATCAGATGCTTTTATTGTCAGGGGTTGTGGCTTTTTGAACCTCATTGAGCCTTATGATGAAGTRATGGCCGACCGAGGTTTCAAAATCAAAGAAGACCTGATGATGTCCATGGCAACATTATGCATACCACCAAGTTGCGCTGCCTCTATGCAGATGCTACCATCTGATGTCAAGAAGACATCAAACATTGCCAATGTTAGAATTTATGTTGAGCAAGCTATTGGTCGAGTTAAACTATTCCGTATTTTGAAACATGAACTACCAATAACCTTACTACCTCTAGTAGATGATATTGKTAGAGTATGCTGTGCTTTGTGCAATTTACTTCCCRYGCTTTGTGAGTAACTAACATTCATTTGATAGAGTGATTTTCATTGAACTATGAAACGATTACTTTAAGGCTAATAGGTACTATAATAGACACTAGTAGAACCTAAGTCCATTGCATTCACTATAAGTAATTGTTTCAAAGTCTGATGAAAAGCCCTCTAGTGTTGATTTTGAATATAGAGTAAATACACTGCACCCATGAAATTAGATGTAACTTCAAGCAATTAGAAGACTTGATATGAATAACGTCCATTTAATCATGGTTCATRTGTCTTTACTCTAGTAAATTAAGAWAGACAATATTGAATTCCATTGTGCTYYTAATGTCACAATACAAGTACCCATCATTCATTGTTACTGTTTGAAATGAGTGGACTAAGCAAAAAAGATTGCTCTATCACTGTATTGTATAATACCCCAAATGTGGTATAATTTAACTGTAACAAGAGTACAGAGAAAACTCCTCTCTAAATCTTACTTAGTAGAACAAAACAAATTTAAGGGTCAATTCATACAAGCCCTAAGGAATTCGTATTCCCAACAATAGGAATAGAACAATAGAATATGTACAGATGTTTAAATTTCAAATTCACATTTGTATGCATTCAAATATTATTATCTATTTGTTATGTTATAGAAGCATTTCATGCAAGTACATCTGATCACTAAGGCAGACCAAAATTGATGAATTGGTTTGAAGTGATTACCACAATATACATGCAAAATAACTTGAAATGACAATTACAMAAATTATACAATAATATTATATAAATCATAGAAATGTTCCAGTTAATGGTAATGGATATTTACATATTTACAGCACAAAAGATTATCAATATTATTTATATTCAAAGATATGAAATAAATACACTTTCAGCATACATATCTGTGTTTTTGTCCTATTTCATGGGTTGCAGTGTTGGCATACTAAGTCTGCTGAGCTCGTAATGTTTTCATGATTACTGCACCATGCATGGACAGCTTTCTTACAAATTGTACAAATGTGTTCCCGACCCACAGGAACACTTTGTAGTAAACATACACTGCATAGATTTACAGTGTCAACAACATGCAAACCACTAGTTGATGGTATTCCAAATCCTGCCAAATCCTCTTCAATGTCACTTAGAATTGCTATCTGTAGGTACATTGTTGAAATCACTGTCACTGTCGGATGCACTGTCAATATCTGCAATATCAACCAGACAGCTATAGCAGACCCATGATTCCATTGAATCTGCAACTTCCTCTGAGAGACCAGCACAGGGAAGGTGTCACCAAGTATTACAGTGGTCACAACAAATGCTGTTTTCAACTTCTGCATTGTTGATCTCAGGAGGCTCTAGTATAATGCTGTCACACTTTGGACACTTGTATATATCTCTATACCCTAACAGGCAGGGCAAAACATACGTCTTGTAGAACAGAGTAATGTYATTTACTACAATGTTACAAAATTCTCTGTCCAACTCCACCCTCTCATACATTGGCTTATGTCCCTTAGTCCACACAATAAAAAAACCATGGTCAGTGCCAGTAACCCACATCTGTGCTTGCATCTGAGTATAATACTTGTGAGATCGCTTTAGTCTGGGTCTGCCCTCCATTTCTTCTAGAAAATCTACGCGTTTGTAGGTGGCCTCTAGATTGATGTCCTCATCTTTCACTGAGAATGGACATTTGACCTCAAGTATAGCTGGATTACAACAATCACAAATAAACATTCCATCTGGAGAGGCAGCAAGGAATGGATAATCAGGCTTTATAAATAAGCCACATTGTTTGAATCCATTCATTCCATTTGCATGTTGGGATGCAACATCAGACATAAACGCTTTAATAGCATCTTTCTCGTGGTCATTTCCCCATTTAATTTGGGGTAAATGTGAAATGTCATCACTCTTGTTCAAAATGTTGAACACTAGAGGAGTATATGTCCCTTTGTTCTTTCTATGTGATCGAAGAATAGTCTCCATTTTAGTATGGTGTTGATGGAAGGTTGAGGCAGTGATTCACCCTTCTCTTTGTTTGAACCATTCTTGGTTGCAGCTTTGCCCTCTAGTCTCAACTTCAATCCTTTTCACTTGATCCCTTGACATTTGGCAATATTCTAGAAATGAAGGGGCTACTTCTTCGCAGCTTTTATTTTTCATATCATTGAAATATATAAAAGCTGCAGCTCTCTCCTTAAGAGGCTGAGGGAGACCATCATCCCTGGCATGTTCTATAGAACTCAGGACACAAGATGATGGCTCACACTCCTTGATTGTGCTGAGCAAATCAGACACTCTCTCGTCAGTAAGCACTCTTTCATTTGGTTTCCTTGGGTCAAAGTGCTTCCTTAGCTCTTGTTCCATTTCAGGATCTCTGTTATTGTCCTTTCGTGTTTTCTTATGCTTTATGAAGTTGAGATTTCTAATCTGGGTTGGGGTGACCTCTTTCTTTGTCCCCCTATTCCATCCTTGAGGAATGCTGGTGTATGAGGGTGATATGTAGTCCTTTTTTAAGGCATAGTTTACTTTATAAAGTAAGGCAATCACATGGTTACATGCCTCACCAGTCCCAGCAATGCATGTGCACCATGAGGTCAAGATCTTGGCCCTATCTTTTGGTCCCTCGGTGCAAATCCACACTTGATGTGGATCTTCATTGAGTCTTTGTGATGGCGATACATTTCCTCTTAAAAACATAAAGTTGTTATGAACAGCATGGTAAACAGTGTCTACAAATCMGCTAAGCCAGTAAGAGTATGCTTTCTGGTCCTTGTATTTACCGATATACTCCACATCAACTGCTTTCACTCGTAGGATATAGCTGAAAAGCATGCCATCATCAATTTGTGGCCATTTTTGAACATCATCGTTCCATGCTTCGGTTTGTAGCGTGTTTGGGTCAATGTTAATGTGGCGTTTCGCAAGTCTTTGCTGGTACTCTTCTTTTAGTTTCTTGTTAATTTCTTCTTGAGAAAACTTCTTTGGTGCTTTAAGTTCGTAGGCACCGAATGCTCTTGCCACAAGCTCAGCTTTTTTGCCTGTTTGTTTCAATCCACGAAGTGCTAGAAAATCCTTAAGCGAGTTGACAGTCCAGTTCACGAAGTCTTCGTATTCTAGCTTTTCTTCTGCCTGTCTCGGCATATTGACTACAACATAAAAACCATCCAATATAATAAATGATATCTTTTGGATGAAGTGGTGGACTTTTTAAAGGCTATATAATGTAGAAAACTAGCGAAATATTYGAAGATAAAAGAGCAAGAATTGATGGCCGTATATGATTTCTATTGTTGTATGTGTGTTTGGCTGCGYGCTCGCCCCAATGCCTTTGCACCCCCGGCAAGATGGCGACCATTAACCTTGGATCGGTCTATTGTGCACCACTGTAGGTAAATGTGTTTTTGAGATAATTTGTGCGCAGAAGAGGGATGTTCAGTTTGTTGGCGGAGTCTCGTAATGAATAGCAAGTGGTATCCCTCGTGAATACAAATTTAGAGCTAAGGTTTTCAGGAGTGGTACCATGTAGGGCCTTGAAAACTAAGATGGCCTTTTGTTTTTGAGAAAGAGAAAGAGCAAAATTACAAAGTTCGTATAAAAGAAAATTTTGGAATTTCCGTGATGGGGTTGGGGTCACAAAAAATCCTCCATGGGGGGGGGGGGTATGGATAATTTCTGGAACTACGCATTGTAAACCTCTTATTGAAATTTTTACATTAATGTAAAATAATAAATTACAATTATTTTGGGTATATATCATTTGGGAGCGTTATGTTGCCTAGTGTTTAAAGTAGGTATACATTGCTTGAAAATATTGTTCATTGTGGATATCAAACAACACTTTTGTAGGATATAAATCTGAATCACATCTATGAGAACTTTGAAACCTGTAATTTTTTCCTAATTTAGCCTGATGATCTACCAAAAATTGCATTGAAGTTGACGCCACTACAAAGTATACATGAGAAAGGGGTACATGCTAAAGTAGAACTGGTTATTGAATATACACCAAATTACCCGAACCAGTAAGTATGATATACTAGTGATCCATGGTAATGTCTGTCCAGTAAGATACACTAGTGATCCATGGTAATGCCTGTCCAGTAAGATATGCTAGTGATCAATGGTAATGCCTGTCCAGTAAGATACACTAGTGATCCATGGTAATGTCTGTCCAGTAAGATACACTAGTGATC